AGTTAGTCACTTAGTTAAGTGGGCAGGCAATGAAGTCTGCTTCGTAGGCTACTTATTAAGTTTAGTTCCAGTGCTAGGCAAGCAGCTGAGATTCACCATCATTCACTTAAACATTGTCATTTGTCTTGAGATATTTTTTTAAGTTCCCTTTTCATTTCCTCTTTGACTCACGGGTAGCTCAACAGTGTATTATTTAGTTTCCACTTATTTGTGAATTTTCCTGTTTTCTTACCAATATTCGTTCTGATTTTCTTCCATTGTGGTAGGAAAAGAGACTCGGTATGATTTTAAACTTTTAAAAATTAGTTGTGATTTGATTTGTGACCTAATGGGATCCTGGGAAAGGTCTGTGGGCACTTGGGAAAAATGTATATTCTGCTGTTATGTGGAAACTTCTGTATATGTCTGTTGGGTGCATTTGGAATATAGCATTGATCAAGTCAGCTCTTTCTCTGTTGCTCTTCTGTCTGGATATTCCACTATTACAAGTGGACAATTGGGGTCTCCTGCTATTATGGCATTGAAGTCGATTTCTCCCTCTGGATCTGTCAATATTTGCTTTATATGTCCATATATTTGGGTGCTAGTCACATCATTTGCAGTTTTTCAAATAGATTTTTGACTTTTCATCAGCTTAGAAGAGATTTTTATCATACATATGAACTGTGAATACATTTTCTTAGTCGTTTTGGGTTGTTTTAGTCCCTCAAAGGGATCTAACTAAAATGAGAAAAATACAGTTATTGAATGACTAGTTGCAAGAAGTCCATCATGACATCTGACATTAAAAATTATCTACCTATTGATTATATCTATTATACAACATTAAATAATAAGCTATGCAATATTGTCTTTACTGAAGGTAAAGTTTATTATATTTCATGCAGTGAACTGAGATTATATTTCACACAGTGAACTGAGACATATCTCACTTTTCAGACTTAAATCCCACCGTTTCTTCAGAATACCAACTCGTCATAGAATGTTGTTTTGGAAGAAGATTATATCGGTGAAAGTTTCCTTTGACATATCTCTGGAATAAGATGAATGTCTCCACTTCATAGATTTGAATTCAGGATACAACTTTCTGTACCAATGAACAAAAATGGACCAAAAAATGGGGTCACATGAGGAAATCAAGTCTGAGACGGTCCACAACTGATCCTTTTTCTTCACCATACTTAGATAAATGCTGTGGCATAGATTGCTTAAATTAAAGACAGTGAAGCAGCCGGGCGCAGTGGCTCAAGCCTGCAATCCCAGCACTTTGGGAGGCCGAGGCGGGTGGATCACAAGGTCAAGAGATCGAGACCATCCTGGTCAAATGGTGAAACCCCGTCTCTACTACAAATACAAAAACATTAGCTGGGCATGGTGGCACATGCCTGTAATCCCAGCTACTCAGGAGGCTGAGGCAGGAGAATTGCCTGAACCCAGGAGGTGGAGGTTGCAGTGAGCCGAGATCGCGCCATTGCACTCCAGCCTGGGAAACAAGAGCGAAACTCCGTCTCAAAAAAAAAAAAAAAAAAGACAGCGAAGCAAATCCTAAGAAGCAGCATCGTTCTGACGGCTCCGGTCTCATAGGAGGCTCTGGAGGAACAGCAGTGGTTGTAAAGATGTTGATTATTTTTCTGGTGTCTGTGAAGAAAAATCACAATGTAGCCACCGGCCAACTCATGAGAACCAGAAAAATGAAGTCCCGGATTGTGATAACACTCATATAGGAGATGGCGATTGCGTTACCCACGTGTGGTGTAGCTAGACACATTTTCACTGAGAGATTCTTGGTGACACTGCCATATTTGATAGCGTCAGCAAATGTCAGAAGCCTGATGTAAATGAGGCTGTTAATGACCCCAAATTTAAGAAGAAACACAGTGGTATCATGAGCATTTCGTCTTTCACCCAAGTCCACCTGGATTTGCTATACATAAAAGTATGTACTATGAGTTCTTTAAAAGTGAAAAATTGTTCCAGTTTTTCTAACTTGAAGTGAAAGCCACTGAAGTCTCTTAAATTATCATAGTGCTTTAGCTGGAGAAGCCTACACAGTAGCAACAAACAGTAAAAAAAAACTCAAAAATTTTTAAAATTTATTTTATTTATTTATTTATTTATTTATTTATTTATTTATTTATTTATTTTTTGAGACGGAGTTTCGCTCTCGTTACCCAGGCTGGAGTGCAATGGCGCGATCTCGGCTCACCGCAACCTCTGCCTCCTGGGTTCAAGCAATTCTCCTGCCTCAGCCTCCTGAGTAGCTGGGATTACAGGCACGCGCCACCATGCCCAGCTCATTTTCTGTATTTTTAGTAGAGATGGGGTTTCACCCTGTTGACCAGGTTGGTCTCAATCTCTTGACCTCGTGATCCACCCTCCTCGGCCTCCCAAAGTGCTGGGATTACAGGCTTGAGCCACCGCGCCCGGCTTTAAATTTATTTTTAACAACATCAGTGAGTTCTAATTGTTATACAAATAACTGCACATATTAATGTGGACAATTTCTCTCAATCAGCTGACACTGCTGAATGCCCACCGGGTGAAACATCGGTAAAAATCAGGGCAGTGCAATTTCCGAAGTTACTCTGACTCATTAAGTTAAAATTCCACTGCAAACATATGGGCTGAGCTGGTGTCTTGTTCACAGAATTTGGCTTTCACCTAACAGATGAGCAAATCTACAGACCTGACTGGACTTGTATTAGCATCCACTACTCTTCAAAGGATTTTTTTTTATGCAATTGCTCAGCAACAAAGGTAAGTGGTGATAAATATTTAGAGCTGAATAGCTTTATTCAATCTCATGGTTCTTCTGGAACAACTCTGTTTACATTTGCAGTGTGGATGCAAAAGCCATGATAGAGAAAACGGCTGGCCCCAAGGCACTGATCAAGGCAGGGGCACGAGCACCAAATTAGTAGTGGTGGCATTCTTCTCTGCCACATGCTGTGGGTTAAAAGAAAAAAAGGCAACTTCCCTTAAAAATGTCTTGGACAAGGCACTAAAAATAGTTACTTGTATTAATTTTCTTAATCCTGACCCTATAAAAAATGCCTCTCTAGTATTATGAGTGATGAAATGCATGGAGACCATGAAGTATCACTTCTCCGTGTTGTAGCGTGATGATGGTGTCTCAAGGGAAAGCACTCGGGAGGCTGGACAAGACCAATTGCATGGGCTAGTATTTGTGTTGAAAGAATGACTGGTGGACAAACTGATTTTTCAGACTAGTTCACAGAAGCTGTCTTGAAAACGAAGGATGCAAGTCCATCACTGTTACCAGTAATAGAATTCATGCTTTCAAGCAAAAATTAGAATTTTGGAAAACTCTGGAGTCATTAAGTATTCAGAAGGTGACCTTCACAAGTTCTGATTATTTAATGTTTCTAAGGAGATCTGTGGTGAAATGAATGAATGTGATTTATTGATAGCATAGCGTTATAACTTACCCTGTTTTGTGCTTTCTTTAGTCACAGGGACTTGGAAAGGGGAGCCACTTACCAAAGGGGACTCTGCTGTTCTGCAGCCGCCTCCTCACACACATGGAGCCTTTGAGAGCAGGGACCTGGAGGGGAATGACACAGAAGGTCCCCAGACACGGAGAAGGACCCTGGAACAGACTTCCTCACACCAGCTGTGATTATCGTCACAGCCACAGTCCCAATGACATTGTCCGCAAAGGGGTGTCTGACAAGGTTCCAACAATTAAGGCCCTCTCAGTGAACTGACATTTTCCCACTGACCCATCTGGAGTAACCTGAAAGGCACAGTATCAGTATCTGCTCAGCATCCTGGGATCAGGCCCTTCACCATTAGGCCCCATGGGCTCTAAATGGAACCTAAGAGATGATCTGTTCCCAGCATTACATTTACAAATGAAAAAACAGAAATTTATGGATGATGAGGCAAGTTTCTGCAGCCGTTTGTGGCAAACCTGGCAGTGAAGAATCTTCCAGTTCCCACCCCTCATGTCCCTCTTGTTTTCAACCCTCCCCACGGAGAAGGGAAACACACTAGGTGAAAGCTCTTCTGCTTCCCCATCACACCTGCTTTCATCCCAAACCTCTGCGTGTTTTCATTCTCCCAAATTCAGAGAACTTTACTGACTTTTAAAATGATCCTTCAGGTTGGGCATGGTGACTCACGCCTGTAATCATAGCACTTTGGGAGGTTAAGGCGGGTGGATCACTCGATGCCAGGAGTTTGAGACCAGCCTGGCCAACATGGTGAAACCCTGTCTCTACTAAAATTATAAAAAATTAGCCAAGCATGGCGGCATGCACCTGTAATCCCCGGTACTCAGGAGGCTGAGGCAGGAGAATCGCTTGAATCCAGGAGGTGGAGGCTGTGGTGAGTGGAGATCACGCCACTGAACTCCAGCCTGGGCAATGGAGCAAGGTTTCATCTCAGAAAAGTAAAAATAAATATAAATAAATAAAATGCTCCTTCAAAGAACAAAGTACAACAGGCATTCCCAAAACTTAGGAACAAAGAACTAGGGGAAAGGTGTTCATGCTAATTTTCAGGGAATATTCAGAGGAAGGATTCTACCCAAAGCAATGCAACTATGATGTTTCAGAAACAGAGAGAAATACAAATAAACCAGATAAAAGAACCCATGGGCAGGGTGCAGTGGCTCATGCCTGTAATCCCAGCACTTTGGGAGGCTGAGGCAGGCGGATCATGAGTTCGGGAGTTCCAGACAAGCCTGACCAACATGGTGAAACCCCGTCTCTACTAAAAATACAGAAAATTAGCAAGGCGTGGTGGCAGGTGCCTATAATCCCACCTACTTAGGAGGCTCAGGCAGGAGAATCACTTGAACCTGGGAGGCAGAGGTTGCAGTGAGCCAAGATTGTGCAACTGTACTCCAGCCTGGGCAACAGAGCGAGACTCTGTTTCCAAAAAAAACCCATGAACTTAGAAAATGACATAAAGAAAACTTTAAAATTAGAAAAATATGGGGCGGGGCCTGAAGCGCTGGGGCGGGCGGCGCGGCCATGCTTATCACGCTGTGCTGCCTGTACCTGTGGGTGCGCGGGGGTCCCCGGCAGCTGCGCACGTGCAGGATACAGTGTGGCAGCTGCGTGCCTCGTGCTACTCCCTCACCTTCTGCGTCAGCGACAGCCAGTTCATTGAAGACTTGAGCAAGTGGGCCCTATGTCTTGTGTCTCCTTTTATACTTGAAGCAGAACACATAGCATTTGTGACAGAGAGCATTTGGGTACAAAGTGAGACTTTGCAGAGATCATCCTCCTCTTCAGAAACAATTGTCAAGTGGTCCGACTGTTGTTTGCCATTAGCTTGCAGACCTGGGGATCCTTATCGGTTAATTGCGGAAGCAAGTGTGGACAGCTTCAGCAGGCTGGGCGTGGCGTTCATGGAAGATAGACTCCACATGGATAATGGTCTGGTACCCCAAAAGATTGTGTCGGTGCACTTGCAGGACTCCACCCTGAAGGAAGTGAAGGATCAGGCCTCACACAAGCAAGCCCAGATCCTAAAACCGAAGCCTGAATCTTCTTTTGAGATTCAGCCTGAGCAGGACGGTATGGAGCATGTTGGCAGAGATGACCCGAAGGCTCTTGGTGAAGAGCTCAAACAGGGGAGAGGCAGTACCGGGAGTGAGCCTGCTGGAGACAGTGACAGGGGAGGGGGCCCCATTGAGCATTATCACCTCCACCTGTCCAGTTGCCACGAGTGTCTGGAACTTGTGAACAGCACCATTGAGTCAGTCAAGTTTGCATTAGCAGAGAACATTCCAGACCTTCCCTATGATTATAGCAGCAGTTTGGAGACTGTTGCTGATGAGACTGGCCCTGAAAGAGAGGCGGGGAGAGTCAACCTCACTGGAAAGGCACCGAACATCCTCCTCTATGTGGGCTCCAACTCCCAGGAAGCCCTCGGCCGCTTCCAGGAGGTCCTGTCCGTGCTGGCCGACTGTGTGGACATTGACAGTTACATTCTCTACCACCTGCTGGAGGAAAGTGCCCTCAAAGACCCGTGGACGGACAACTGTCTGCTATTGGTCATTGCTACCAGGGAGTCCATCCCCAAAGTCCTATACCAGAAGGTCATGGCCTATCTGTCTCAGGGAGGGAAGGTGCTGGGCCTGTCTTCATCCTTCACCTTTGGTGGCTTTCAGGTGACAAGCAAGGGTGTGCTGCGGAAGACGGTTCAGAACTTGGTTTTCTCCAAGGCTGACCAGAGCGAGGTGAAGCTCAGCGTCGAGCAGTGGCTGCAGGTACCAGGAAGGCCCCGGAGAGCGGCTCAGCCCCGGCGGGCTCCAGGGCCACCTGGAGAATGAGGACAAGGACAGGATGATTGTGCGTGTGCCTTTTGGAACTCATGGGGGAGAAGCTGTTCTTTGCCAGGTACTCAGGGCAGCGTGGATTTGGTGATCTTTGCATATCTGTGGGCATCTTTGAAAGGGAATATGCCTTTTAAAGCTACATGCTTAAAAGTTTCAGGAGTTTGTGTGCTGCAGGCTGTTTTTGACTGTTGGCTGGGAGCTTTTGCTGATAGTGAGCAGGTTTAGTTTAGTTCGGGGCTTTCTTGAAAACCCTGATTAACCAAAAGACTTGTGAGGAAGGAACAAGGCGGGTGTCAGGGATAAATGAGCTTGCTGGTTAACTGAGGCTTAGTCAGAAAATGCTTGTTTGGTTCTTTACTAGTAATGATCTTTCTTAACTACACCAGTCTGCTTTCTTGCCTCAGAGTACCCCTTGGTTAATATAATTGAGCCTTTATTTAACGTAGGAAGTTAAAACCATCAGGGTCATGATTCTAGATGTCAGTGACCACCACGATGAAACACTACAGTTGATTGGCAAGGTAGTTTGTGTTAAAACATCTTCAGGTTCCCAATTCCTTTCTTATGTTTTGTCACTCTTCCAAGTGCTGAAGAAAATCTTCAGATAAGAGAATATTGATCCCAGCTACTCTGGAGGCTGAGGCAGGAGAATTGCCTGAACTCAGGAGATGGAGGTTGCAGTGAGCCGAGACTGAGCCACTGCACTCCAGCCTGGGCAACAGAGTGAGACTCCATCTCAAAAAAAAAAAAAAAGAGAATATTGAAGTTACTTAGATTTGTGGCATAATAATACATAGGGGAAAAAAATGGAAAGAGGAGGAAAGGAAAATGCCCTGCTGCCGCTGAGCATGGAGGCCAAGATCAAGCAGGAGATCACCGAGGGGGAGCTCAAGGCCTTCATGACAGTGCCCAGTGGCAAGAAGGCACCCGCCATGCGCAAGGTGCTCCACCCCTGCCGCTTCTGCAACCAGGTGTTTGCCTTCTCAGGGGTGTTGCACGCCCAGGTGTGCTCCCACCTGGGCATCTCGCTGTACCAATGCAACATCTGTGACTACATTGCTGCCGACAAGGCCGCGCTCATCCGCTACCTGTGCACGCACAGCGGGGAACAGCCGTACATCTGCAAGATCTGCCACTACCCCTTCACTGTCAAGGCCAACCGCGAGCGGCACCTGCGCAAGAAGCACCTCAAGGCCACCCGCAAGGACATCGAGAAGAACATTGAGTTCCTACATCAGTAGCAGTGCGGCCGAGGTGGTGGATGCCTCCTGCGCCCCAGACACCGTGTGCCGGCTCTGCGGAGAAGACCTCAAGGACCACGGCGCCAGGCGCATCCAGACGCGCACGCACTGCGGCCATGGCCTGGGTGGGGGCCACCAGGGCCGCAAGCCCTTTGAGTGCAAGGAGTGCAATGTCGCGTTCACGGCCAAGCGCAACTGCATCCACCACATCCTCAAGCAGCACCTGCGTGTGCCAGAGTACAACATCGACAGCTACGTCCTGGCCGCCGACAGCCTGGGCTCTGCAGAGGCCCCACCCGCTGAGGCCTCCGGGCACGGGGAGGATGGTGGTTGTGCTGCCATTGGTGACCGCAAGCCCCTCAGCACCTTCCTGGAGCCCCCAAACGGCTTTCTTCACAGGGGCCCCACCCAGGCTCCACCTCCCCATGTCTCAGTAAAGTTGGAGCCTGCCAGCAGCTTTGCAGTGGACTGCAAGGAGCCCCTGGACTTCTCTCAGAAGGGCTTGGTGCTGGTCCAAGTGAAGCAGGAAAACATCTCCTCCTTTCTGAGCCCTTCTTCCTTGGCCCCCTACGACTGCTCCATGGAGCCCATCGACCTGTCCAACCCCAAGAACTTCAGGATAGGGGACAAGGATGTGGCCGCTCCGAGTGAAACCAAGAAGGCTGAGCAGGAGGCAGGGAGCAGCGGGCAGCCCTCTCCCTGCCCACCACCCTGCCCTTCTCTTCCCGTGGCTTTGGGGCCCAGCAGGATCCTGGAAAGCCCCATGGCTCCTGCACCGGCAGCCACCCCAGAGCCTCCAGCACAGCCCCTGCAGGGCCCCGTTCAGCTGACAGCCCCCATCTACTCCTCAGCCCTGGTCAGCAGCCCTCTCCTCATGGGCAGCTCAGCCCTCCTGAGTGGCACAGCCTTGCTTCAGCCGCTGAGGCCCAAGCCCCCCTACTTTTGCCAAAGCCCCCCGTGACAGAAGAGCTGCCGCCACTGGCCTCCATTGCTCAGATCATCTCATCTGTGTCCTCTGCCCCCACCCTGCTGAAAACCAAGGTGGTGAACCCAGGGTCCACGAGCACTGGCAGTAACACCACAGCTTCAGACAGCTTAGGAGGCTCCGTCCCCAAAGCTGTCACCACCACCACTGCCGCCCCGGCTGCCACCACCAGCTCAGAAGAGTCCAGCGAGCCTCCTGTTCCAACCAGCAGCCTAGAAATTGCCTCTCCCACCGAGCAGGGCCCATCGGGCGCCTCAAAGAAGAGGGGCCGGAAAAGTGGGGTGAGGAGCCGACCCCGTGCCAACAGTGGCAGGGTGGACCTGGACTCCAGTGGAGAGTTTGCCAGCATCAAGAAGATGCTGGCCGCCACTGACACCAACAATTTCAGTCCATTTCTGCAGACAGCAGAGGACGACATTCAGGACAAGGTGGCTGGAGCCCCGGCCGACCACCATGGGCCCAGTGACGAAGAGCAGGGCAGTCCCCCAGAAGACAAGTTGCTGAGGGCCAAGCGGAACTCCTATGCCAACCGCCTGCAGAAGATCACCTGTCCCCACTGTCCCCGGGTTTTCCCTTGGGCCAGCTCCCTACAGAGGCACATGCTCACACACACTGACAGCCAGTCAGATGCGGAGACAGCGGCAGCCGTGGGCGAAGTGCCAGACCTCACCTTGCATGACGGAGAGCAGCCGTCGGAGGGCACCACTGAACTCCATCATGTCACAGGCTAACGTGGAAACGGCCTCGCCTGTGCACCAGCAACAGCAGGGGCCCAGGAGAGCCGTGAGCCGCAGGAAGCGCCTGACACCGAGGAGAGCACCGGTGACCCCGATGGCGCAGAGGAGGACGCGGCCAGCAACCAGAGCCTGGACCTGGAATTCGCCAGCAAGTTCATGGACTTCAAGCTGGCCGAGGGCGAGGGGGAGGCGAGCGCTGAGGGCGCGGCCGCTCAGGAGCAGAAGCTCGCCTGCGACACCTGTGGGAAGAGCTTCAAGCTCCTGGGCACCCTGAGTGGCCACCGGAAAGTGCACGGCCACCAGGAGCCCAAGGACGAGAAGGGTGATGGAGCTAGCACTTCGGAGGAGGGGTCCCAGCCCGCCCCTGAGTAGGAAAAGCCCCCCGAGACCCCTGAGGGGGTGGTAGAGTCGGCCCCAGGAGCCGAGGAGGCCCCGGCAGAAAAGCCCTCGGAGGAGACTGAGGGCCCCTCCGACGGGGAGGGCGTGGCTGAGAGGAGGTCCTGGGAGAAGAGCGATGATGACAAGAAACCAAAAGCGTGGCCAGCAAGGCAGACAAGAGGAAGCAGGTCTGCAGCGTGTGCAACAAGCGATTCTGGTCGCTGCAGGACCTGACCCGGCATATGCGCTCCCACACAGGGGAAAGGCCATACGAATGTCAGACCTGCGAGCGAACCTTCACCTTGAAGCACAGCCTGGTTGGCCACTAGCGGATCCACCAGAAAGCCAGGCACGCCAAACACCATGGGAAGGACAGTGACAAGGACGAGCGGCGTGAGGAGGACAGCGAAAAGGGGTCCACCCACAGCGGCAGCAACCCGGTCTCAGAGAATAAAGCTGAGCGGGCTCCCAACGCCAGCAACCACATGGCCGTCATCCAGAACCGGAAGGAGGGCTTGGCCAATGCCACCAAGGGCTGCAGCCACAGGGAGGAGAAGGTCACAGCAGGGCGGGCATTCAAGCCTGGCCGGGGTGACCTTAACCCGGAGAGCCCTGCGGCCCTGGGGCAGGACCTGCTAGAGCCCTGCAGCAAGAGGCCCGCCCACCCCATCCTGGCCACGGCTGACGGTGCCTCGCAGCTCCTGGGGATGGAGTGACAGCCTCAGTCCCCCTCAGCACAGACAAAAGCCAGCAGAGCAAAGCGTCGCAAGTCTATACTTCATGGGATTTCCTCGGTGCCCTTCGGCTGTTGGGGATTAAGAGAGAGTAAGTGCGAGAGACAAGCAGGAGTGTGGCCGCTGCTCAGTGCCACAGCCTTACCGCAGTCTGCGTGGGAGGCCCCAGCCCCTGCTGATCCCAGTGCCTTCACTACTTACCGGATCCCTCCGTATCATCATGGGTGTTACAGTTTTCCAAAATGACTTCTTAAGACAAACATTGTAATGAATTGTCTGGAGAGGACCTCTTCATTTGAGCACCAGCGTTATTTTGTATTGGTGTGTGTGAGCTTGTTCTTGTGAATCTGTGATAGCACCCTTTCTTCTGTGAGCTGGAAACGGAAAAAACATACCCTTGGGTACCCATAGCCAGTAACTGGAAGAAAATGATGTGAATTTCATGTAAATGACCAGAGGAGAGATGCATAAGATAATTTCTCAAATAGACATTTTCCTTTTTTTCTGTGTGCTTCACGGTGAAGTTGTCATCTGGTCCTTGGTATTACAGGATGTGGTTGATGAAGGTTTCCAATATGGTTTCAAGCCAAAACCAGGAAAGAGTCTAGCTTCAGCCTCCTGTCCGTTTCCACTCTGTCAGCATTAGACATGGTCACTGTTCAAGTTTCAAGACATCCATTCTTAACTGCAGAGAAGAGTTACTCCCCTGGCAACTTAACCTATGGAAAACACGCACGGATGGCATGTATTTGATTGTCCCCTTTCCCCTTCAGTATGTGTATTATTAATAATATTATTATTATTAGTTCATCAGTTTGCTGGTCTCTGCAGTCAGCAGAATCAAATGGGCAATATTTGTCCTGGGAGACCTGTGCCACACCCAGGTCCCCGAGTAAACGTGTGCCTGCGGCTGTGGTTGGCACCTTCGGGTGGTAGCTCTTCTACTGTACTGAGACAAGCCTTTCTTCTGTCACTGCAGAATTTGGCCATGAGCAGTCTTCCCAAGCATGGCC